AAACAATAAAATCTACAGAATAGGAAAAAATTTTGCCAGCTATTTCAGATAGCAGGCTAACAAAAAGAACATATAAAAAACTCAAAACAACAGACTCCCCCCAAAGACTCAAAAAATGTGCAACGAGAATGAACAGACACTGAAAAGAATAATTACAAGTAATAAATACATGAAAAATATTCATCAATGTTGGCCATCAGAGAAATGTAAATTAAAACTACAGAGATACCATCTTAACCCAGAAAGAATGGCTATCATCAAAAAAACTAGTAACAAATGCTGGCAAGGATGTAGGGGAAAAGGAACTATACTACTGTGCACTGTTAGTGGGAATGTAAACTACTACAACTACTGTGGAAATCAGTGTGGAAACTCTCTTAAACACTAAAAATAGAAATTCCATTTGACCCAACTGCCCTCCTTCTAGGTGAATTCTCAAAAGAGTTAAGATCACTGTATACAGGGAAACATGCATACTCATGATTATAGCAGCACAATTTATAGTAGCTAGATCTTGGAAACAGCATATACGTCCATCAACAGACAAATGGATACAAAAAAGAGGTACACTATACACAATGGACTACTACACATCCATAAATAAAAATAAACTTGAAGCATGTGTAGGTAAATGGATGCAACTTGGAAACATGTTAAGTGAAATGAATCAGACACACGGCTCAGTATTGCATGGTTACCTTCACATGTGAAATTTTCTCTATGAGAAAGAAGAGGGAGGGAGGGAGGGAGGGAAGGCAAGAGAGAGAGAGGGCAAAAGGGATAAATATAGTAGGATGGAGAAGTTCAAATATGTCCCAAAAATTACATGTTCTGTTGTTTTAAAAATATTTAACATATATACTAATTTGTTTCATTTATATTACTAGTTTATCTTAATTGGTTAAAAAGGAAAGTTTTATGTTGTTTCTTTATGTAAGAATTTTCTTGGTTTATGTCTTATACTTGGAGAAACTACTCTGAAGTGTATTAACTACAATTATTCTCTTATTAGCTGGTTATGAAATTTTGTTTTCATAAAATAAAAAAGGTATCCTATATGCAATATTGGGAACTTATTTTACTGAGATTCATACATTTCTTTTTCCTTTTTGAGACAATTTCTCTATGTAGCCCAGGCTGGTCTCAAACTCACAGTGATCCTCTGAACTCAACCTCCTGAGTGCTGGAATTACTTGTGTTCCCCACCACCCCCAGTACTTATTTTTAAAATGTGGCTGTTGTGGGCATTCTTGTACATAGCAAGATTTTCTTTTACATATACTGATGAACAGAACTCCTAAGTCACAGATGTATAAATGCTCAATTTTAGGAGACAGTGCCAACTGTTTTCCAGAGTTTAGCAATGTCAAAATTAGAAAGCTTGTGGATTTACAGTTATATTACCTAACAACTACAAAGCAACATGTACATTTCTTTCCATGAAATGTTTACTTGTATCTTTTCCCCATTTTTATTGGGTTAATGGCACTTTTCTTATTCATGTACGGATATACAGAATAAACCAACATTTCTGTAACAACAGTATAAACTGTCTTAGATTCTAACTTTATTATTTGAGTTACCAACTCATACTGAATTTGACTTTAATTTTCCCTATAAGTATTTCTGTAATCATCTTTAAAGCACAACTTTCAAAATGTATGTATTGCATGTATGTATGCATAAATGTTTATGTGTACCCATGATATACAATACTGTCATCAGACATGCAGAAAAATCATGAGTTTCACCAAAATATGGAATCAGGGCCAGGGAGACAGCTTAGTGCAATAAGTGCCTGCCTGGCAAGCGCAGGATCCTGAGTTCGATCCCTGCTACCGCAAAAAAAAAAAAAAAAAAAAAAAAAGGAATCAGTTTCTTAATTAGTGTATGCTCTTTTTAAAATTAGAATTGAAATATAGACCATATCCTGCAATTGGCTGATATATTTATTCATACACTACCCTCCACCTAGGGTTAGTTTTTTGTGCAAGTATGTGTTTCGGAAAAAGTCAGTTTGTCATAGAAGATTCCACAGCTTCAATTTTGCTGATCTATACTATAATGCATAATTTATAATCCCCTTTTAAACTTACAACTTCATTTGTTTTCATTTGTAAAACTAGACGGCATACACTTCCAAAGACATAATGTATCTTTCTGAGATACAGTTAAACACTGCCTATCACTGCCTTCCCATTAATTTGATGAAATTTTAAATCTACAGTTCAGTTATGAAATATGATCCTTCCTTCCTGGTACCATTCCATGACCAAACTACACTTCATTCTTCTCACAGAACTTTTTATTCTTCTAACAAGCGAGAGAAGATGTTACTCTGGCAGTGCAAAGTGAACAGATTCAGGGAACACTTAGGAACAAGTGCCACAGGACTTAACAATTAATTATATTACAGGATGAGAGAAAAGAAAACTATGCTTAAATTTTGAGTTTAGGAAATTATATTGAGTTTAGGTATTTTCAATCATGAAAAAAAAAAAATAGAAAAAGAATGGATCCAAAAAATATTAAGTTTAGTTTTAAGTTTCAGATGATTCTGTACTTGAGAATAGAAACATCCAACAAATAGCCTGAGAATTCAGGAGGATAAAGTGGAGTAGAAACAACAATTTGTACTTCCTTAGCATGGAGATAACAAATGATGTCACTAGAGTAATGACACCACCCCGAAGAGGGTTCATTAAGATTACAATAGCTTAACTGTTACAGGCATAAGCACAACAAAAACAAGAACAAAAATCAACTAAACAAATTCTAGTCTGTGGCAGTTTTCATTTTTCCTTAAATTTTATTTGTTTCAATATTTTATAGTGATTTTAGTATATATTCAATTCGAATTAATAAAAAAACATTCAGTAAATATCCATTTCTCTTAGAATCAGCCTTGTTGCTTTAAGTCACTGATTCTATTAGAGGCTCGATCAATAAGTGTGGTCAGCAGCAACATACAATCACCTTTCTTAAAAAATTGTACTTCAGGGTCAAGGAGACAGCTCAGTAGAATAAGCACTCGCCTGGCAAGCACAAGGGCCTGAGTTCAATCCCTGGTTCGGCCAAAAAAAAAAAAAAAAATTGTACTTCAGGTCCATAGTTGAAGATGTGATGTGGTTAAATGAATTAAGGCTCAAGGATTATAGTCAGAACTATTCACTAAATCAACCTCCAATTTTGGGAATGTTCTATAACTCCTTCAGAAAATATAATAATCAACTAATTATAAATCAAAATGAGATAGTCAAATAAAAATTAGAAGTAGTTATAGAAATGAAAATCATTGATGATAACATAAAAATAAGATTTAATCTCTATGACCACTGCCGACTGCTTACTGACATGCAGCCTGGAAGAGAATGGGAAGTAGGACATACCACCTATAGAACAGAGGCCAGGGCATAAGGCAGGCACAGACCACTCTTCTGCAAGCCTCATGCTGCTGAGGCTAGCCATTTCAGCTTTCTTCTCCCAAGAAGCCACCACTCAGTGAAAAACAAAGAGCTTAAGCTTATAAGTAACTCAGTAATCAAGGCATTACCAACATGAAGACAAGTCAGAAATGAATAGATTCCGTTAACAGAAAACCATCCAAAATCATGAAAAAAAGTGGAATCAGCTCACGGGATGGTTAATTCCTGCTTCTGAGCCAATGTGCATCAAATACTACTATTTCATCAATGTCAACATATTTAGTACTTTAACACAATGAAAGATCCCATTTTAAAGTTAAGGAAACAGGATAGGGGAGATGGATCATCAAGCTTATAGGTGGTATTTTACAATAATATCTAAAGGTTATGGTGGCACATGCTTATAATCCCAGATACTTGGAAGGGTGAGGCAGGACTGCTAAATGTAAGCATAGCTTGGTAACAGAAAAACAATGTCTCCTAAAGCTTCCTCCTACATAAGATGACTACCTTATATAGAGTTATCACAAGGATAACATTAATCCACACATTTAAAATGTTTGGCATAGTTTCTTTTCTTTACCAGGTACCCAGTGACTACACTTACTATTTATAATACTGTATCTAACCTTTACAATTACAAAATAATTTCCACGTCTAAAATGTCACATTCCCTCAATGAATATTAAACTGCAACTTCAAACTTTTTTTTTTTTTTAAATGAATTTAGGACAGGGTGTTCAGGTCTTACTATGTAGATCGGACTCAGTGATTCTCCTGTTTTCAGCCTCCCAAGTGCTG